AAGTGTATCCCCAAAAGTTAATAACCATAAGATAAATACGTTTCCAATTGTGATAGAATTAGGATAAATATCATATTTTATTAGTTTGCAAAGTACATAAACACACGTGCACTTGCCCTTACAGTGAATGTGACTAACCACAATTAGTTTAAGATAAACTTTATCAACTTTCAAAATATCCTAGTAGAATTTAATAACTTGGTGATAAACTTAATTGAATTTGGATAATTTTAATTAATATCATTAATCATGTTTATATAACTATTTTACTTTTCCCAAAACTGTGATATATATATACACACACCGGATAAAATTTTGTAGCAGAGTTTAACATGGCTAATACCATTTTAAAGTAAAGATAATTGTGATAATTCTTCCTAATTATCTTAAAAGGTACAGTTTTACATAATCAAATAATACATATTAATTATGTTTCTTTGAATAGAAATAACTTGGGCTTAACCTATCCAAATTAACTTTTTCTCGAGTCTAAAATGCATAATTAATTACGAGCTATCCAACGAAAAGGTAGACTGAGTTCCATATTGAGAGTTGAGATGAGTTTTGGCTTTGTTCTGTTACACATGCATTAGCCACATCCTTAGGATTAGGTGGAGTCAAGCACTATTGATTGCCCTTCGCATTTGGGTGCTAAAGCAACTGGTGGTTTGGAAGGTCAAAGAGTTCATTTGCTGCTTTAGAAAACGGGTGGAGATGGTGAATTATCAAGCTAGGAGGTGGAGAATGTTTGGGTAGAAAGTGTCCTTTTTACCATTTCTCGGTGATTGTCGGAGTCTACATATGAGTGGAAGGTACTCTGAAGCATGATCTGAAAATGAGGAGATATCCAAGGGGTGGTCGAGATGATACCCACCGGATGCTTGGACCAAAGTGGGTCGGAAAGTTCTTCAGTGAGATGAGAAAGGGAGCTTTAATGGACTTAGGTTTGAGAATTCAACACTTGATGCATGTTTGCTTGAAGGGATATTTTCTTTTGTAGTTAAATAATGAAAACTGTAGGCATGAACTCAAGCCCAGATTTACCCTTTACCATTGAAATAATGGGTTGAGATGTCATGTTGAAAATTGTATATCCGGTTTCTCCTCTTTTCACTTGGGTGCAACATTTGGGCACCAATACATTTTGTGAGACCGTTAAATTCATCATGCAACTGGATGCTAAAAAGCTACGGTGCGATGATGGATTGTTTGTATACAAGGCAATTATAGCATGTTATGCATGCTCAGCCTGGATGTTGCTTTACAGATGAGAAGAGGGATTGCTTCATTTGAGCATAGTTACTGATTTATTGCTAGGGGTAAAATGTTGGGGAATGATTTTCTAAATATTTGCCTCCCCTTTATTTACTATAGCTATCGGCATTTATCTAACTTGAAATGTCTTTAATCTGTCTGCCAGACTGGTCACGACAGTTGTTGACGTTGGCCCCCCAGCTGATTGGGTGAAAATCAACATACGTGAAACTGTAAGTTCATTATAATAGGGCTAGCTTCAATATTTATGTTGCTCTCTTCTTTCCCTCAACAAACAGACATATTGAAGCAAATTTTGACTGCGACTATTACTTTATGTACAGAAAGATTGTTTTGAGGTTTATGCTCTGGTGCCTGGGCTTCTCCGTGAAGAGGTGTGTATTTGCAGTTATTGGTTTGTACTGAGCAGTGAGCATGAATTTGTAATGTGTTCTTCACTTTTATGTTGTTGGGATATGCATTCTTGTGTTGGTTGTTCCTTCGATGTTTTAGCTAATATATTATCATTCATGTACATGTATCGGTTTTGCATTGTATTTTCCGTTCAGATTGCGTATGAATTTGAACCACTAATAATGAATCTACTTCTCGTGGAATAGGTTTTTGCTTTAGTTTTATTCTATCCCCCTTTGTTAGGAATTTGATATGTTTTTGTGTGGGAATGTGTGCGCTCAAAGTGAGATTGTGAACTAAATCCATGAGATGATACTGATGCCCTTATTAACGGCTTAGGTGCGAGTTCAATCAGATCCTGCTGGACGATTAGTCATAACAGGTCAGCCTGAGCAACTTGACAATCCCTGGGGTGTTACACCATTCAGAAAGGTACGAGTTTTTTGACACAGAACTTTTGTGAAGCATACTATGTACAGTAATCATTCCAGCAATTGCAAAGCATGCCATATTACATTAGGAACCTAGTTACCACCATATACAATTAGCAACTTTCATATTCAGTAGTGTTGAATGTGTAATGAGAACATGTTTTTTTTTCTCTGCTTAGCAAATATAAAAATCCTGAGCGCAGATTGGAGTTTTTAAAATTAGATGAAGACTGTCTCTTGCCAAGTCATTCTCCATGGTTTCTGCCTCATATTTTTGTTCTTGTTTCTGCCATTTAACCACTTGTTCTGTCGAGTGCCAAATATAGTGAAATATAATCCCTGTTTATGCTGCTGGTTCACTAGTTAACAATTTGAAGGCATGTCAATAGCATATCAACTATGAATATTTGAGTTAAAGAGTAAATAGATCAGAATTAACAGATTTCTGGGTGATTTTCAGGTGGTGAGCTTACCTGCAAGAATTGATCCAGTTCAGACTTCAGCAGTCGTTAGTCTGCATGGGCGTCTCTTTATTCGTGTTCCTTTTGAGCAGTCGACAACATAAATCTCGTGGCTTATTAAGATTTTGCAGAATAGTTCTACATTCTTTTGATCGTCTGGCTAAATCATAGAAGCAATCTACTTTTGCGGCAGCTCTGTTGCTCATTTGTCTTGGGGTTTCGAATTATTTTTGTGTCTAGCTTTGACCCGTAAGTTCATCTGATTGCATTAACAAATTAGTTCTAGACGGTTTTTTAAATTAGAGATTGGAACTCATCAATTGGACACTACAGTGATTTTTTTGGGTCAGTAGCTTTGTCATTTCCCAATAAAGACATGGATTGTTGTTTTGATTAATTGACACTCATAATCTCTCTTCATCAATGTTTTAGATGAGTTATCGTTTAATTCGTGACAGATATTTGGACGCGCGACCTTTTTTTCTTCTGAATTCTTGTGAACACTGTAGGATAATACAAGATTTATTGCACTCAAATTCATTCAGGATGTGGCTTCCATTGTAACTATCAACATATTACTCATAATGTAACATTTATAGACGAACAAATGTAGCCCAAGATGAAGTTGCAGGATGTGGTCCAGAGGTCACAAATTTTTGACTGATGAAACTTGGAAAAGTAACAATTTCCAATGTTCACCCAAGAATTTGTCACGTTTGATTAAATGTCATGTCCTAGTACACTGTACACTTGATTGTCCCTAATGATAATAGTCCCAATGGATAATATATTATTAATCTTATTGTTATTTGTACTTGTCAGATAAATGAGATGTACGTAGCAAACACATATTTTATATTTGTCGTATTTGTCAATTTTCGATAGCGAGTATGATAAAGAGTTTTCCGTATTTGTCTCCCTCTTCAGTTCACCCCCTTTGCTTCGTTACTTAGTGGCACACTCCCAACCTACATACAAGAGACGTGGTTAGTGCTAACAAAGGCCTAGCATGATCACAAGGAATTCATGGAAAGCAAGAAAAACGTGAGACATTGGTCGGTACCACTAGTAAATTGTGGCAGCCAATTATTCTTAGATATATGTATCAAATATATTATTTGAAAGAAATAATCATATTAAATAAGATGACTAAGTGGTAAAATGTGTGTAATTTATGTGGGACGTTGGTGATTTGAATCACATTCCACACCAATATTAAAAAGTCTACTATTGGATATTGGGCTTTTGGGATCAGAATAAATTTTTTAGTCACTCATTTTTGGACATTTCGTGGCCTGTATACACCGAAATTATCCATCTTCTGCAGATTATAAGAATTGATTCTAAAATCATTTTGTTGAGAAAGTATTCCGTAGTAAACTTGAGGATTCTGAAAACCACTTATAATTGTTGCACATTTGATTTGATCATTGTATCTTGGTAGTGATTATTCAAAGCAATCGATGTAGTTAACGAAAGATAATTTCGCTTTAGAATATTGTCCTGTTGTGAGTTTCAATGGTTCCTCAATAGTTGCTACAATTAATTTTTCTCCTACGCTTATTTAGCTCATTTGATCCTCATTCCTTTCAATTACACATTCTTCAATAAAATAATATTATACATAAATCCAAATATTTTCCTTATTTTTCAACCACACATTCTCCATCAATTTATTATTTCAAAATGTATTTTTAAAAAAATGGGACTCAAATATGCTCTTAGCAACAGGGTTAAGAAGACGTGCATCTAATGAATAACCTGAACAAAGATAATGTAGACATGAAAGGATAGCTCATATAGAGTAGGAGATAGATGTTAAATTAGGGATAGATATCCAATGGCTAGGATAGTACAACTAGAGAAGGCTCTCTTTGTTCATTTTATTTGATTACTTCATTTAGTGGCAAGTTTTGTTACGTGTATTAGATATAGCAATACACTGTCAAAAAAGAGAGACTATAACTTAAAACTAAATTGAACTAAACCGAAATTTAGTTGAAACAAATTAAGGGTTCGTTTGGCATATTTTTTCTTTAGCTTTTACTTTTTGTACAAGTGTTTTGAAATAACTACCTTCATTTTTTTGGAAATTAATTTCTAAAAGTGTACCCTATTTCGAAAATACTTTTAGAGAAAATCACATTAGACTTTCTACATAAATAGCCATTTGCTAATTATGAAAGGAGTCTCAATATATCATTGCAATAGATACTGAAAGCTTAGCGTAGAGAAATGCAATCACCTTATTGCATGCACCTAAACTTCATTCCCAACACGATATTTACAGTCTCAATAAAAATAATTGCAAGGATTACACACTTAATCCAAACTTCAAATTGCATTAGTCGGCTACACAATTCAAAAATTTTCAACCTCTACAAAATGAGAAAACGCAGATAAAGCATTAAAAGTTATAGCATTTAGCATGCTCAATAACTTTCCAGCTATGACAAGAAGCAGCCACACATCAAGATCATTTCCTTGTGTCCTCGTCGTCAGCTTTATTCTTCCTCCAAGCCTTCTGACACAGATTTTTACACATGCAATAGAGATGCTGGGAGTTCTTTTCTTCTATGAGCCAAGTTTGGTCAATCCCTACTTGATCTGATCTGTTGTATTTCATGTGACTTTTAACCAGCTGACCAGCTGCAATGGCAGACATTAAAGAGAGCTCCCCTGCCAAAACTGAACCGGCAACTATGGTTGCTAGGAGTTGGGAGTTTGACCTTGGAGACTCCTTGCTTGCACCCTTCACGCCAAGAAGGTTGAGACAAGCAGACTGCGAAGCCAGTTGAGTTCCACCTCCAACTGTGCCGACCTGGAAAAATGAACAATGGCTTCAGTAAAAAGATGCCAGGTTATTCCGTGTCCGTCAATATGAGCACATTCTAAAACATAACCAATAAAGAAAACTGAATGCTACCAGGTCCCAAATCAAAAATTGATTCATTCACTAATTCCACTTTCCAAAGAGAAAATTGCAGTATTGATTAATTTGTATGGATATTCCACCGGACGCTTTTCAACTACCATTAGTTGAAAACTACTCAAATTGGAAAAAATATGTAATAAATTACAGATCGTTTCGAATGTTAAATACCTCAATGGAAGGCATGGTGACAGAGACATGAAGATCCTTGCCATCGTTGACGGGCTCCATCATAGTGATGCAGTGAGAACTTTCTACATTTTGTGCCGGGTCCTGACCAGTGGCTAGGAAAATTGCAGAGACAATATTGGCAGCATGGGCATTAAAGCCACCAAGAGAACCCGCAACAGCAGAGCCAGTGAGGTTCTTGAGCGTGTTAAGCTCAACTAGAGCGGGTACAGTGGTTTTCAATACCTTTGTCACCAGTTCTCCATTAATAATTGCCTCACAGACAACTGACATTCCATGCCCCTCAATCCAATTGACTGCTGCAGGTTTCTTATCAGAACGAGAAATTCCCTGCACGTTGAATGACAAATCACATCCAGGAACAAAACATTGGAACATCAGAGAAAATGGAGAGCCATGAAACAAAGTCACTATGCTACTTGTGATGGTTCACAGATATGAGAACTAAATAAGTCTGATATCAGAAGCCTATACAAGCTGTGCTATGCTCCAAAAATAACAAAACTGTAAGGAAGTCGACTATAATCTGTTTCAGCAGTCACCATTATGTAGATAATTATTAAAACACAAGACAATACATGGTAACTCACAACAGTCAGGACTAGCAAACAGCTTAGAAAGCAGCACAGAGAATAATGCAAGTCAAAGAAATTGTTAATAATTCTGCTTGGATTCTTGGAAGCAAGAAATGTGTGCTTGTTGAGAGAAATGTCAAAATCATCCAATAAAGAGGATGCTGAAATTCAAGAGAAATTAAGGAACTTAGCCTACGTTTGGCTCATGAATATAAACACTCAAACCACTTTTTGTACACGTATTTTGAGGGACTCACAAGTACTACCCATTTATTCACCACTCAATTTACCGTTTAGAAGCACTTCCCAAACATGCTCTTTGTTGACAAGACAACAACTACTTTGGATAAAAGGGGGGTATAAACGATCAACATAAAACGCGATATAATAGGAAATGATTAACTTTGAGCAAAAAGAAAAAGAAAAAAAGAAATGATTAGAGCTCACCAGAAATACTGATAACATCCATATCTGGAAAATCATTTTGAAGAAAGTCCAGAACATTCTGAACAGTTTTAGACACAATGTTCATCCCCATGGCATCACCTGTGATGCAGCTAAATCGAATGTAAGGATTTTTCCCTGCAATAGCACATTGAATACCTTGTAGTCTTGCAAATCGGCTCGACCTGTGACCAGAAAACACGTTTTATTATGTAAAAAAGCCTCAGAGAATGATTTGAAATTCTAGAGCAATACCACTAATCACATGAAAGGAAATATATAAACCTTTAATAAGAAAACAGATACCAAGATGCCGTTGACAGCATATCAAGCACTCCGTTCTAATAAAAAACAGCAAGCATGAAAACTAAGATAAATAGAGGGAACATTGACGCACACATTTGTCTTCGAAAGAGAAATTTCACACACTGGAACATTTTCATCGAAAATCTCATGCCTTATTCTCCTTAGGGCAACTCCAAATGATTCAAGTACTTGAACCATCAAAATCAAATGATTTCTAATCATACAAAACGACATAAAACCTAAAAATTAATTCTTAAAAGAATTCTTTTCAAGAAGAAAGCTTACTGGTTGAAAACAACAGTCAAGGTATCAAAATTGAGCGGGTCCTCCAAGAAGAATTTTAGCTCAGTAGCTCTCTTTGCGAAGGCAAACCTGACCACTGGAGCTCTGGTCATCCCATCTCTGAGGAGCACAGAAGTGGCACCCCCAGATGCAAAGATAGCTCCCCTGTTTGTGCTGGCCACGAGGCATCCTTCCGTGGTGGCCATCGGCACTGAGTACTCGCACCCATTGAGCAACAGCGGCCCCGCTATCCCCCACCGGAATCTGCACATATCCCACCGGCATCTCACATCACTGTCCCAATAACGAATCGTTATCGAACCCCTCCAAGGGCAATCCCTCGAGAGACCTCCCGGTCAGCCTCTGCAATGCCTTG